AACTGTTCTGAGAGATTCAGATTTACGGCAGAAGACACTGCTGAGAGAAAAAGCAAGAAACAGAGACAGTGGAGTTCCACCTCCCATGATATATAGAGCCAAGGGAGGTATAAATACCCGTCACTTCCCGGACCCTCTTTAAAAAAAAGACAAACACCCAGGATCCTGTCTCTGGCTGGCTTGCAGCAAGGCGCCCTCATAAAAGCTAAGATAAACAGTTTATCAGCAGATGAATGCACAAGCTCTGGTCTAAAGACAAAAGTCTATACCTTAGGAAAAATGCAGAAGTAAGAAGAGAGTGGGCTGAGAATCAAGGAGGCAGAGCATTTTAGGAGGAAGAATGCCATATAATGAGAAAAATAAAATACAGCAATTCTTTAAGGACATTTTTCTTAAGGCGATGGATACATCTATGTATAGCTCTACTTAAAAGACTAAGAAATAACTGGTTTTTATTTGTGGGGTATCCTTTTTTGGGGGGTTGTTGTTTTTCTTCATTGTTTTAATGCATTAGTCATTTTAGGATTTACTCCACTATAAAACATTCATCACAGAGCTTAGTTTCAAAATATATTATTTATATATTATTTATCACTGTAGATACATGTTCTTGGCCAAATGTATCCTTCCCTGTCTCCTGTTGGGATTTCAAGGTAGAACTTTGCTCTCTCAAAGTATGTTTTACCTTCCAAAGCTTTTGATTCATAACTGTTTTCCTTCAGAGCAGCTGATCACCTGCTAACATTGTCATCCTCAGCACAGTCCTTATTCTGTGTGTCAGGAAAGGGGCAGGGAAATTGATGAGGTACCTTCCTCATGAGGGAAGAGGGACAGAGCACCGCATTTCAAAGATCCAGCAGGATCTCCCTGAATCTTTGCACACTGAAGAATGTAGTTTCAAACTGGTAGAATGGTGATTTTCTACCTGTGGTACATGGATTCCAGGGAAGGTCATACATGACCCTTGATAGCTCATAATGTAGATTTGTCATCTGAAATATCTGGACTATGTAAAATGGCTGCAAGCTGTGCATCTCCTTTAGAATTTCTTTAGGGATCCAGTTTTTAAAGAAAAGGTAGAAAGGAAATTCCTTATAAAATTTATACAGGTGTATAAAGGAAGAGGAAACTAGCAGCTTGCTAGGACCTAAGACTAAAATTGAAATTTTTTAATTCAGTTATCTCTTCTTTCAAACACAGGTTTCCTCTACAATTTTAGTAAAACAGGAGACTCTTCCCTCTGCATTGTTCCATCAATACGGGTAATCAAACTAATCAAAGTCTCCAACACTTCCATGAAAGAGGCAAGGATTATCACTCCTGCTGTACAGATAAGGAAAGGCAGAGCTATGAAATGTCCTGCCCAAAGCCATATGAGAAATTTGCGTGACAGTGGAGCAGAGGACTCATTTGGTTATGCTGTTGCTTTTCCCTTTGTTTCCTTAACAATCATTTCATGCCAATGGATTTTTTTAAAATGAGAAGCAAAAGGCAATGAGAGCATGATTTAAATAATCTTTACATGTAAAGGGAAGCAAGAATAGTTCTAAGGAAGCCTCCACTCCTAAGGAAGGCACAGCTTTGCCAATCACACCTGGCACAGTTCTTCTTCATTCCAGTTTTGCAGTGTTTTAGTACCTTCTGTGAGATTCCCTCTGTGGTTTAGAGTGGTGCATGAGACCACTGCTTGTAGATCAGGCTGATTTGAAACCATGGGCTGAATTCAGAGGGCTGTCCCTGAGCCCTAGGTTGGGTGAAGTAGGCCAGGCCATTTTCTGTTAGTAGATTTAACAGGAAACAAATCTATTCTGAATTGTTTCTGTGCATCCTCGCTGCTGTGGACTGAAGTCAGCTGCTTACATAATGTGTTTGCAGAGCTGTGCCTCCAGAGCTGTGCAGGCTGCATTCCTCTTCTCTCCTCATCAGCGATGTCACCCTGAAGAAGTGGCATCTTACTCTTGCCCACACTGGCTTCCTGTGTGCCTTGAAGGTTGTATTTGCTTTGTCTACTGAAAAAACACATTTTTAGTACTGACAGCACTCCAGAACCAATAAAACTGAGGCAAAGGGAGTTGTCCTACTCTGCTTCATGCTTCGTTGCCAGTAGCATGACCAGCTAAGGCCTCTATGAGCTGCTGGCCTCTCTCCCTATCCCAGGAAGGGCTGGCATCATACACAGATCCTGGATCATGCCCTTTACCTCCAGGTTTCATTTACTGCCGTTTTCAACAAGTCTTGGAATAAACCAGTTTCTTTTCCCTCTGACCCAGCGGCCTCTGGCAGAGTTACTGGCAGCTCTTTCCCTGTCCTGCTGTCAGCCATTCCACCAAGAAATTCTTGGGCCACAAGTGACTTCTGTCACTTCTACATCCCTCAAGCTTTCATGGCCTCTCCAGGAGCCCAGTGTACCTGAGGCAAGGCAGACATCCGTGCTTGAGGAATTACTGAGCCCCAGCCCTGCTCTGCTCAGAACACATCTGGGGCTTAAAGAGGGACAGAGAGGCTTAAAGAGACTCATTCCAGAAACATTTCATTGTGCAGGTAACTCAGTTGAGGAGGAAAAGGTCTTGTCTTCCAGTCCTTGTTTAGGGTCACAATTTTGAATGTGGAATCTTAAACATCTGGCATGGAATAGATGGTACATAGGCCTTATTAGCTTTGCTTTTTAGACCTAAGAGACTGGTAGTTAAAGAACTGGTTTCCAGTTCTTTATACCAGCTGAGTGAAACTTAATTTATTATTTAAAAAAAAAATACAAGCTACATGATGTAACTTCTGAATTTTTGCTTCTGTTTCTGAGGTATGGCTTCTCACTTATATCAAGGGACAACTTTTATGCCAAATTTCAGCAATTAAAGTTTACCAGGGTCTGGGTCAAGGTAGAGACCTCAATTTGCAGGTGAAAAAAATTTTAATAAAAATCCAGCAGATCTTTGACTGACATTGTAGCAGCAAGTGTCACTGTGAGGCTTTTCCACAATGTTGACCTTAGATCAGTTTTCCATCTTTTTCATGTAATTTTTTTCACTTATCTATTATTTATAAAATGCCCTATATGTTCTGGAATACAGCAAAGTGAAGAGTTCTTTTAAGTTTAAAATTCGGAGTGAAAATAGTTGAAAAAATATCATTTTTATTAAAAAAAGAAACCAATATTGGTAATATGATCTATGTACTACTTTCCTAATGAACTTAATTTTGAAGGTCAGAATTTAAACAAATGCATAAATAATTTAGGTGAAACGGCATAGCTTCAGTCCCATTAAACTTAGGCTCCTAAGTGCCTAAATAGCCTGCAGGAATGGGATTCAAGCACTTCAGGAAATTTTACTCAAACCGTAATAGAGCCTTACAGCCATACTGCCTGCCACACCGTGTAAGTGCTCTTTGCGAGACAGTAATTCTGCCATGGAAGTGGCATTTAGTATCAAATTTTAAATTGTTTTATGTATTTCCATTGAGGCACTTTCCACTTTTCCTGTATGGATTGAGGGCATAACTGGAAATTGCGTTCCTGATGAAGTCTTAGCGAACTCCCCAGAAAATCGCTAAGCAAGTGCTCCGGAGAGAGCAGCGGGGCCGGGCAGTCTCCCGGAGCATCCGCCATGGGAGCCGAGCACCCGGGCTGGTCTCGGGGGACCGCAGGTCCGTACGCGGGGTCCCACCCGGCCGTAGCCCCCGAGGTCTGCGCAGAGTCCGCGGGAGCCGCCTCCTCCCACCCGCAGCACCCCCGGTGCTCTGCCCGCGCTCACCCGCGGGCCGCGGGAGGCTCTTCCCGACTTTCTCCGGCGCCGAGGGCATCCCGCCGCTCCGCGCTGTCCCGGTGCCCCCCGGCCCGCCCGCGGGCAGCCCCCGGCCCGGCGCGGCGCCGCCAGCAGAGGGCTCGCTCCGCCCGGGAAGGCGGCGGAGCTGCCGGCGGCTGCCGCGGGCAGGGCAGCATCTCCCGGGGCGCGGCGGCTCGCGTGAGCGGCGGCGTGCGGAGGGCGGGGGGAGGCGGTGGCTCCCGCCTCAGCCTTCCCCAGCAGAGGGTGCCTGCCGGTGGGAAGGGGGAAGCCGCGCTCTCCTGGACTTTTGTGGGAGTGGGGGTTGTGTTGTGTGTGTGGGTTTTAAGGGGGGTGGGGTGGGTTAGGAGAGAGTCTGTGGTTTCCATGGAGATGAAGCTGAAAGTGCAGGAAATTTAAAGGCTTTGGGTCCTTGCAAAGCAGACAAACTGGTGCCAACGTGCGTGGCTGCTTGTTGCTGCTGAGGAGGCTGCTTTGCAAACGGCGGAGAGGAGCGGGGAGGAAGAATCGGCAGCTACTTCTTCCACACGCACGGGCAGACAACGAGAAGCAGCAGCAACAAGCAGAATTCGCAACAAAAAGAGGCATCTCCCGTTCCCGGGAAGGGCGAGAAGAAGCAGCAGCAGCAGCAGAATTTTGGAGCGGCTCCACCAGGAGAAATTTTATAGAGAAGCCTGCAAGAGAGAGTGTTTGCAGGGGGCTTGTTCTCCGCGCTTATCAGGGGGCTGTCTTTGGTGGTGGTGCGGCGAGTGGAGATCGTGGTCCCTTTCAAAGACGAGCTATTTTGGATATCCCCGTACAAGTTTTCTGATGCATTTGCTTGCACCTTCTTCCCTTGCTGTTTGGTGAATCCAGCCCCCCCTTCCC